TTTTTTTTTTTTTTTTTTTTTTTTTTTTTTTTTTGGGCTAAGGTTCTTAGTAGGCCTACCGGTAAGAAGATTTAAAACAAATGTACAAGTACCAGTAAAAAATCGTTGACAAGTCAATTCAATCACAAATCGTTGAGAAGTATCGCCGATACTATCACTATTGGATAAGTAGGCTAAGTTACTCAGAAGTTACTGATACTGAGACACCTTAATTCATTGGCATCATGCTTTACTTCAGTCATACAACAGTAGGTTTAATTTTTTTTTTAAATTTGCATACTTGGTTGTCTGTTATGTTATGCGTTCCAAAATAGCGTTACAACAACACTACGGCCTAGACCTTGTCGCGTGACAGTGACACATTATTAGGCCTACTCATAGGCATATTCGATTTCAGGCGTTTTTTTTTTTTTTCCCCCATTTTTGATATTGTATTTATATCCTCTGCCTCTACCAATACATATTTGAACATAGGGCCTACGTCGTATGCTCAAATACTTAGAACTAATAATTAAATCAAATTCAGTTTGTGATTTTCTCGATTAAATTTTAGATTTTTTAATTAGGCCTAGGCCTACTTACTTCGCTTTATTAAACAAAAATTATGTTAACCCAAGACATCAATGTATTGACTATAAATTATTTAGGGTCATTAATCTGAGTTTACAATAAAATTGTCTTACTCATGATTTTTTATATATATATATATATTTTTTTTTTTAGGGGGTGGTGGGTGGGGGTGGGGTGGGGTGGGGGGCATGCCACATGAAAAGATATATATAAAGTATGGATTTAGTAGATCAGTAGACTTAGTAGATAGGCCTACAGCATCACGGCCTATATTTATTATATTTTTATGAGGCATCTGGCTTTGGGCATTTTTTTCGATAGGAATCTTAAAATAAACTTCAATATTAAAATTAAAGTAATAAGGCGTTACGATTATAAATTAGCATATGATATATGAATATGGGCATTATGGCCTAAAGATAAGAAAATTAAACAGGCCTATTCACTTTTAATAGTTTTTAATCAGCAGCATTGCATTTTCATTGTCAGTCAAATTATAATACTTTTATTTTCAGGAAGGTCCAAGCGTAGGCTACCCAGTGCCGTCTTTTAAGGTGGGGGTACCAGGGTTTCTTTCAGCTATATCTCCGGGGAGGGGGGTGGGGGGAAGTGCCCCCACGGGGAAAGCCAAGTGCCCCCCCCCCCAGCCAAACAATGTCCAACAATAAATCAACTGGCCCTCCGCCCCACCACCACCCCCCCCCGACAAAAAAAAAGCGGAAGTGCCCCCGGGGGGGGGGAGAATTTCTGAAATAATCACTGGGGAGTACACTGGGCAGTTTCCCAGAGCCTCACGCCACTAGGCAATCTAGGAGCAGGCCTATCATGCCCCTAGGGTAGGGTGACCAAACGTCCCTTTTCACGATCGTACCCGGTGTCCCGAAAAAGTCTCTCAGGGCGCCAAAATGTCCCGTTTCTAAAACCAAACACATTTTCAAATCACTAAAACTTCCTAATTTATAACATAAATTCAAGTAATATTTTGGTTAGCTGTGCAGCCAGTGCCAGTAATAATGTGAATGTGGGCTCGCGTGATGCCTGCACTGTTCACCCCTCCACCTCTGCCAACGCTGCGCAAACAACAGTACGACAGTGTCCCTGCCATAGATCTTATATGTATAAATAAATTAGTATTCACTGCAAAATTATTATTTTCGTTTATAATATGCCTCAGAGTTTAAATTAAATGACAAAAGTGAAGGTAAATTTTAAAAGATTGCCAGGTCTCAAAATAGTTAAAATGAGTATATTTCAATAAACAGTTTCCGGCGGAGCCCCCGGGATCCTAATTAGCCCTCCTTGGGTGTGTCCCGTTTTTTTCCAGTTCAAGATTTGGTCACCCTACCCTAGGGGCCTCACTCGCCTACGTCATTATGTTGCTTATATTATTAATGAATATAATCTTTAAATTTTGACAAATTTTGAAAAAATTTAAATTGCTCTGAAAGTTGAATCGTGACAAACACATTTTTGCGGAAAAAGTTTTTCGCTTTTTAACTCAATTTGATTTTTTGGACTAGTTTGAGGGGAAAAAAATGTAGCCTACTTTTTTTCAATCTAAAATGAGTAAAACAGAGTATGGTTAAACGTGAAAAAATAAACGCAACAAAACAGCGAACGTGTCGGCAGAAAGCCTTCGTCAGCGAACAAAACAACAGAAAAAACGGTATAAAAATAAGAAATAGCACTTAGCTGGTAAGTAGTATCTGTGGGCAGCAATAGAAGTGTGCTTCTTTTGCTGCCCACAGATACTACTTACCAGCTAAGTGCTATTTCTTATTTTTATACCGTTTTTTCTGTTGTTTTGTTCGCTGACGAAGGCTTTCTACCGACACGTTCGCTGTTTTGTTGCGTTTATTTTTTAAGGTTTAACCATACTCTGTTTTACTCATTTTATTTTGTACTAACCTGATTGCAGTCTCTCCCCTTATTACCCCTTTTTTTCAATCCAGTGATTTGGATTGTAGGGGGTGAATGCGTTAAAGTAAAAAAAAAAAAGTTACAATAGGCACCGTATGTTAACTAATTATTAATTTATCTGAAGAAAGTTACATTCGTTTGAAATACAAAATGAACCTTTCACTTTACTCAATTTTTGGGGGCATTTCCTACGCCCTACGCCTACGCTTTAATTTTCTTCAGATTAACACACCACTGATTCAGATAATCATTTACATAAATATTAAATGCATGTAAAAAGATAATACATAGTTATTTTTTAAATTCTTATAGTATAGTGTTCTTAAATTATCATTCCATGAGGTGAACTTATGTTTATATTTTGCGGGGAGACCAAACATTGGGCATTGGGCGTCATATTTTTTTAGTCATAATGATAATGACTAATCAGAGTCAGATACGTAGTTATAGAGTAGTCGGCGCTCAGGGACAGTGCTGAACCCATCAAGTTTTTGTTATTTATAATATAAACAACAAAAAACAAAAATTATTGCTTCACAGTACAAAATGTTAAATAATTAAAATAAGGTTTGTTCAACTAACTTAAATTTATCGAAGCTGATCATCAGAATCAGTGACTCTGAATATTATTATGATATGAATCAATGACCTTGGCGTCCTTGGTGCCTTGTTGAATGTAACGTAATTTATTAAAAGTGGGACAATAAATAGCGAAACTCTATTTAGTAGACCTATGGCTTATCTAACTATAAATAAACATGACGTCGTAGGTCTATTCATGTTGTCATCCGTAGTCAGTGTAGTATAGTGAGTTCACTGCTGGGAACTGATCTGCGCTTTCTAAGACTAAGATTAACCGTACTAATACTCAAGACAGGCTCGTTTCAATTTCAAGTGTGAGCTGCACTTTTACCGAAAGTAAATATTTTAACACGTTTTAGGATGGCCAGTAATTCAACTGTGACAAAATCAGCTCTTAAAAATGAACTAATTAAAGCTGTATTAAGCGGTGAGTTTGATCGAGTCCAAACATTACTGACACAGGGAGCTGACGTTAACGAGACGGAAGAAGTAGAAAGCGGTAGTGTTTGGAGCGCACTTACTGCTATTGTTAGCAAGCGTCGTTCCTATGAAACCAAAGGAATTATATCAGTTCTACTTAGGAAGGGAGCTAATGTAGATTGGGCTAATAAGAAAGGACAGACAGCCCTTGTGCTTGCCTCTCTCAATGATGACTTTGAAGCTGTAAAACTACTCATTGAGTATGGAGCTGATGTAAATCATATTATACAAGGAGATAGAAATACACCGCTTATCTTAGCAGCTAAACGTAACAACACTAAAACAGTTGAAATACTGCTTGATTCCGGGGCTGATGTAGCTCATGTAAACAAAGAGAAACAAAGTGCTGTCATGGTGGCAGCCAGGTATGGAAGTAAAAGTGTTCTAGAATTATTATTAAAGCGTAGCACAGTTAATGATATAAACTGTGTTGATAGCCATGGCTGGAGTGCACTCTGGCATGCTTCATACAAGGGTCATTGTACCATTATAGAAATGCTTCTAAGTCATGGTGCAGATATCACAAAGGTTAATGACATCAAACAGAATGTTGTCATGCTGGCTTCTTGGATGAAAGAGTTAGGTGCAGTTGAAATTTTACTTAATAAGGGGGCAGATGTCAATCATGTTGATGATGATGGCAACAGTGCACTTATGTTGACATCATTTCATAATGACTTGGACTTGAGGGGAGTTGATATATTATTACAGCATGGTGCAGATGTTAATCAAGTCAATGAAGCTGGATGGACACCACTAATGCTTGCATCACAGGGTGGATACAACAGCATTGTGAAATTGTTATTGGAGCATGGAGCGAACATTGATCATGTTAACCATGATAAAAAGGATGCTCTTGCAATTACATTACAAAATGCTAAACTTGAAACTGCAAAACTTTTACTAAACCAGAATGCAGATGCCAATCGCAAATATTCTTTAGGATGGACTTCACTTATGATTGCATCAACACAACAACACACTGAAACCATTGCTTGTATAGACCTTTTAATAGATCATGGTGTTAATATTAATGAAATCAGCGACGATGGATGGGATGCACTTGGGATAGCATCATACCAAGGTCATTCTCAAATTGTTGAGCATCTAATCCTTCGCAAGGCATGTGATAAAAATATTAATGGCAGGAGAGCTACACCGTTGATGCTCGCTGCACTGAAAGATCATACTTGTATAATCGATTTATTGGTAAATAAAGGACATGTTGATGTCAATCAAACTAATCAAGATGGAGTCACTGCATTAATGGTTGCTTCAGAAAATAGAAATCTTAAATCTGTACAAGAATTACTTAAATATGGTGCAGATGTAAACATTATGGATCGCAAAGGGAGATGTACCTTAAGTCTCGCATTCCAAAATAATGATCAACAAGTTATTCAGATGTTGAAACCGCACATAGCAGGCATGAGTACGAGAGGACTTCCGAACAACACACGACATGAATATGAAATTGATGCTGTGGTGAATAAAGAAACTTTTAATTTCACTTCACAAACAACTTTTGATGACTCTAACACAGTTTTACCACAAAATGCAGAGCAATGTCTCAAGGCCGTAGATCAATCAGTATTAGGAATTTTAAAGAAATATAAAAATGAACAGCCACAGGTGCATCTGACTGTAAATCTTGTTCATAATGTTAATAATTACCTTTGTAATACAATTGAAACAGTCCAAACTCCTGCTGTTAATAATAATTTTAATGCATTGCATGTAAATGCTATCACTGTGAATGACAGTAATATAAATAAGACCGGCCAAGTCCAAGGTTTTCCTACAACTAATAACACTTTGAATATTCAAAAAGTTACCAACTTGGCTACTGACAATAGCATTATAAATGCCAATTAACCACATCCATGAAATAAAAAGTAGGAATTCATAAGTCAAAACTTTAAGTTGAAATTTGATTTAAATGATAATTAATCACTCTGATCCCTGTACCTTTTACTTTTAGTTAAGTTATAAATTTGATAACTTATACTTGTATGAATATTGCAAATGTTTCCAGATTTGCGCAAACGGTATCATTTAATTGTGTTGTAGTTTAAGCTTTCAATTGTCAGCAGCCAAACTGTCACAGTTAATTATGTGGAATGAATTGAACTATTATTAGGATTTTAAAGAAACTCGATTTAACGGTCCCTGACACAGGTAATTTGTCCATAAAAGTTAGAGAAAATGTATATATTGTCACTGTTAAAAACCATACTTTACTTTTTCTTACTGTACAGAAAAGACACTTTTAAAAAACCTAATTACCAGTAACGGTAGTAAAAACATCAAGATTTTTCAAATCTTTTATTTGAAATGATCTAAAAATGTATATTTTTTTTAACTGTAGGACTATGTCTCGCAGCTGTATAATAACTGGCATACCGGTAACCAATATTGTGACCAAATTTAAAAGTTATACACATCAGGGATACATAAAAAAAAAATATCCAAAAAATTATGAATTTTTTAAAGGATGCGGCTATTTGGACCTGTTGAGAGTTTGGGTTTATTAAAAAATATTTTGAAATTATTATAGGGTTTGTAAGACAAAATTTGGTATCAAATGAAAGATAATTGAATGGACTATATCTTTGTAAACTTACTTCTTCAGTTTAACTAAAATAAACTACCAAAAATGACATCCGAATAGAATTTAGTCAAAATGGAACCGGAAATGCATCGTCGCTATTCAGACCCGGGTCCCATTAGACTCAAGCTATTCGGATGTCATTTGTGGTAGTTTATTTTAGTTAAACTGAAGAAGTAAGTTTACAAACATATAGTCCATTCAATTATCTTTCATTTGATACCAAATTTAGTCTTACAACCTAATAATAATATTTTATTTTAAATTTTAATCCCAACCTCTCACTTCGCGGACCCGGGTCCGAATAGCCACTTCGTTTTTTAAAATGCTTTTTATAAAAATTCTCCTTTTCTGTCCTATGAACAAAATAACAACCCTTCCGGTACCGGTACCTAAATTTGAAAAAATTTAATGCACACTTTACATATTATGTGTGTGTTGTGTGTTTATAAAATCTCATTGGGTAAAAGAAGTAATTGATGTTCATATTGAGAATCTGGCATATATATTTATTTATATATATATATTTTTTTATAATATATATATTTATCTCATCTGGTAGCCTACAAATTTGTTTTTGTTTTTTTTTTAAATCCAAGATTTAGAATCTAATATATATATAAATTTACATTAAAGTTTAACATAAACTTGGATTTTTTTATATCCAGATGTGTCCAAAACTAAATAATTTTTTTGAACTGCACATTTTTATTCTCTTTGCCCCATCTCCCTTTACTTTATGTATTTCCAACTAATTTTGTACGGGTACCGGGTATTAATATGAGGCCAAGATGTTACACATAAACATTCAGAAGGTAGATAAATGTCATTTTTGTTAGCAATTCATTTTTTTACAGACAAAAATTTAAATGATTTATGTTTGTCAAAATTATTTTTCAAACCATTATGTATAGAAATAAATTGTCTACTACTAAATGAAGTACCTTAAACTTATTTTTCTTTAATCGTAACGTTAATAGCTTAAAAAAAAGTTAATCTTTAAACATTTTAAAAGTCAATAAATGGCAAACCCTACTTTTGAATAATGCAGATATTCTGGCTAAAACTGGGGATTCCCAGCTGTAATGGACAGTTCTAGTCACTTATTTCAGTATCAAGATTAGTTTGGGCTTTTTTCCCCATACATTATCAGCTTGTTTGGGCAGTGAAGGGGCAGCACAAAAGATGTGTTGTATTACTTGTATGGTACAGCCTAAAAATAGAACTGGTTGCCAAAATACTAGACAGTACCATCATTAGACTAGTTTGTGTCTTTTATATCGGTATGTTGACTTGTATTCCTCTATCTAGGCGAGTGCTTTCCAACCTTTTTTGACTAAGTGGGCCAAATTTTTTTCCCGCAAACCTGAGGGCCACAAATTTTTTGTTATAGTTTTTAGAAAATTATTCATATTGTTAACATTTCTTACCTTATGCATAAAATATACTTTACGTTATCGGCTCATCAAGAATATAAATAAAGCTAATAAAAACTGTATTTTGTTTTCAATTGTACTGTACTTGCAATTTTCTTAATTTGAGGTACCGGTAGTTATCAGTAGCACCATCCCTAAATGTCACACCAGTTGATGCTTTACATTTTTCGACTTGATGTTGGTTATTACATTACATAGAATTCAGTTTCACTGATGTAGGGTGCTTGCAAAAACATGGTAAAAATTTTGTTACATTTCCAGAGATGTTGAAATTCTTCAAAGGAAACATGACGCCATCCAGAATCTATTTTTCCACCCATTCTTAGATTTGTTTATAAAAAAAATACTTTCAAGAATCATTCCTACTGTTCCTCACAATTCCTCCCTGACTGCATTTCACAAACTACAAACAATCACAGCTTTTCTTCTCATTGAATGTCACATACTCTATGAATACCTGGTACTTGTCCCCAACACCACAACAATTCAGGATGGATACATTCTCCCATACTTGGCTGAACTGTTTAAATAACATTGTACCATAAATGAGTCAACCCCACCTTAGTTATTCAAATGTGCCACCTTTAGTATCCTAGCTACCATCTCAATTATTCTGACGGGAAGACTTTCCTGTCATATCATACCAAAAAGTGCAGTAGTACCACTCCTCACCGTCTATTTCATCTAACTTGTTCCCATTGGTGGGGGCATCGACATTTTTACAATGACCAAATAGCTACACATCAAGTTACTTTTGTTTTCCCCATTCATCTTTCCCAATGTTGTCATTAATTATACCCAATAACCCGCAATGCATGGGCGCCCGCAGGTAGGGGCAAGGTGGGGCACTTGCCCCCCCCCCCCCCCCCCCCCA